ACGCACAACTTGCCCACAAATGGACTGACTGTAGGTCGGTATGTTGCAGCCTGATAGGGTCTTATAAGGGTACTTTCTTGGAGGCGCTACGCAGCGCCTGCTCAGGGGTGCGGAATTCCGTCCTGCCAGGCGTATTAATCCTACTCGTCTTAGGGACCTATCGTGCCAACTGCCTTTAATGAGCGCAAAGAATTCCAAAAATGTACACCTTCACTATGCAGACCTTTTGGAGTCTGGTAGTTTCAGCCAGTGAGGGTCGCGCACAGCTACAGCACACCCGGCCAGGTCCCATTGAGCAGGACGGTAGACACCAGGCATTTCTGCAGTTTCACCACCTGAAAGCCACAACGATTGATAGAAGCTCCTTTTCTTCGACAACGTTATCACCCAACCATTATTTTACATGAAGACATGTCCCAACAAAATCCTGTAAAACTTCGGCGAGCTATTGAGCTCGCAACGTCGCCCTTCTTCGGAACTTACCGACCAAGCTGCAATCAGACTCGATACAAGCTTCTGGCAATGGAGGCGACCACCTCTCTGGCACGATCCTTCTTCAGCCGTCCAGTCACGTAGTAGTCCACGAAGGCGATAGGTGCAGCACAATGACAAAGGACGTCATTAACACACATACCAACAACGTCATATCCAATGTTTGAATAGTCGTTCAAAGCATCTGCGATCTGAAAGGAACACTATATTGTGACCTAATTCACGGCGCCGTCACTTCATCAGGCGATAGCTCGTCATGGCCACGATTATCACAATCACAGGCATGTGAATAAGAAAATGGCTAAATTCGCGGTCCGCGTTAAGGACAGTTGGTAATGGAGTGGTTGCCACGAACGAAATGGGCATGCAAAAAGAAATGCCTCTAATAGGCTCATCAGTGAAAGGAAAAACAAAAGGGAACGTCCTCCAGTAGGACTCCTTACTAGCTGTGAGCAGCTCTGAGAGTACAAGGCCAAAGGAACGCGTTTGGGGACGAGTCTCGTCAGCTGGTTCCTCGTGAAGAAACCCTACAACTCCAGAAGAGACAATGATGTTCCCATTTTTTCCTACTCGTCAGGAGTCATAGTTTTTCACTAGAAAGCAGACTTCGAAGGCGGAGTCTGGAGGCGGAGTCACCAGAACAAGGTTAACCTGGAGCAACTTGCGCCTTGCCATTTACCCTTTAAGTTTCCTTCGCGAAACTGGTACAATGCTGTCCATTGCTAATCACGTTGCCCTTCCCCGCAATTTTTACTTTTCACAGGTTACCGTTCTTTCTTTCAAGGAGCGTTCTATCAAAGACGATGTCACCGACTAGGGACTCTATAAGTCATAAGATTCACGGTAGGGTAACACTGCGTACACATGGAACTCCAAAGCATACCTCAATTTTCGTTCCAACACCGTCCATTCCAATCACCTAGCTCTGCGCCTTTCGGATAGCCAGCTCTTACCAAATCGACGACTGCGCCAAAGCCACCTATCTGAAGAACTAGCGACTGTTATTTGAACGTGAGCTTGGAATACTACTGGCCATGGAATATTTATGCGCTACTGCACCACTTTTAATGCAGTCAATTTTCACAGCTTACCATTAGCTTTACAAAACTGGTTGACCCCTTGACGCTGTCTTCGGAAAGCTAACCTCCCCACCACAAATACAGCCACTTTGCATGAAAAACATCATCATGCTCTTGACCAGATTGGGATTGTTTATTGAAACTTGGGCGCCCAAATACTTTCCCGCTGAACAGATATGATTTTCCGCTTCGTGGGATCAAACTATCCCCAGTGCAGAAGTCAGGCAAAATCCACCCCGGGCCAAATATCAAAATCCCAGCTCACTTTTGTAAGAGGAGAGAAGTGAAAAGCAGAGGGTAACTTGTTCAGGAAATGATTATTTGCTCAAAGTGGTATCCGTTAGAAGATTGATTCCGGAATTGCAATGAGTGGAAAAAAAATTAGAGTGTGACAGAAGCAAAAACGAATTTTTAGGTAAGCTCAAGTGGGCAGCTGGACTACGAAACTACAAGAACCTGGGAGACTGGCTAGTCCAATTGTCAAAAGCCATTACCTGTTCCGTACCCTCTTTCAGTGTGGACTTCACTAAATCCTTAATGTCGCTTACGAACGCATTGCCTTCACTGATATCGACTCCAGAGTCACCATACGTCAGAGATCTCAGGGAGCTGAAAATGAACGTCAGGAACTTTTCAGGTATTCTGTTACCCAAGAAAAGAAGGGTTCTATGAAGGTCTTGGTCATCGTCCTAGATGATGTTTTTTCTGCCTCGTACAGACTGCAAGGCATACTGTCCTTATTTTACTGCAGACTCCACCTGTGCTATCCTCCAATGTGCAGAACTTGCATCGATACCAAGATTCGCACGCTTAAAGACCAACTATCCGTTCACCTCCATAAGTGAGGTGAATGGGTTCGCAGCTACAGTAGCGTACCTTTTCCGTCACTCAAAAGTACGCGAGAAACTGGGTGGAGGTGGGGATACTATGCCCGTTCTTGCGTACCTTTGCTGTCATCTTCTCACTCCACCCGCACTATCCCCAATGTGCAGCGTTTGCGTCGATACCGAAATCCCTCAGGGTAATGCGCACTCAGCGGTAGAGAAAATCAGAACTGAGACAGATCAGACAAGTAGCGCGCTTGACTATGGTTAAGCGCGGGTTAGTCGAGCGGCTGCGGAGGAGACGGAGACAGACAGCACCCAGGTATCACCACCTTCCGGGCCCGATCCCACGCGTTTCCGCTTAAGAGAATGGCACACTTCTGCAGCTGCGAGCGCATTCACTTCACACTTGGCAAGGACCAGGATCTACGGAGATGAGTATACACTTTGTCTTTAATTGAACCAGTCATCCAACCAGGCTTATATTCGAACCGTTCTCTTTCTCTACATAACCTCTACCGAAGCACCATGCCGTGGAGCTGGTAAGAGTTACCAAGAAAATCATCCGCAAAAGTCTCGTTTAGAAAGTCACCTATGAGAGAGCGGTAGTTGTTTTGACGGAAGACATTTGTATTCGATCACCAACTTTGAAGTGAAAATACGGACCTTTGCTTTTCTAGTCCAATATCCCGACGGAAGAATTTGCCATCAAAATGGATAGCCTCGCTGATTTGTATGGCTTCAGAACGTGCCTCAGATGGAGAACTCCCTAGAGCCGTAACACAGAGGATCCTTCCTCCATTCGTCACCACTGAACAGTTTGAATGAATAAATGAAAGAAAGCACTCTGTAGACCAGTAATACCGAACCACCTTTCCCATCCGACGATTTCATAGTTCCTGCATGAAATACGACTGTAGCATCTGAATGCTCAGCAAAATCTGAATGAGAGCATAAATGGTTCAATATATCTTCACAATGACAGCCAATGACATAGAACAGAAACAATGCGGACTATGTCTCCGGAAGAGAAGTAGATCTCTTCAGCGCTTACCAATAGGAGTGCCCTTGTCGCCAGAGTATGGATAGTTTCCACTGGCAAGCACAATGCCGCAAGCATGACGATCATCCCATTCGATGTTTAGCTGAGAGAGTGTACCCTTGACGGACGCCATACAGATCTCGAAGAGATCAGACTTGAGCAATCTCATTATGACCTGAAACAAATTAGAGCAGGTGAAATCCATAATGCTGTAAGCTGAAAGTTTTAGCCTAGAAAATACATGATTGCCTAAAGTAGCGAGATCTGAAAGTAGTTCATCTGAAGCTGAAGAAGCCCAGTGTTCAGTTTCTCGAGACTGTTAGTACTCAACGCTCAATAACATACTGCA